ATGAGTCAAGATAAGATCGGAACACACTGTGCATCAAGTGCATAAAAGTTGTTAGGGCATTGGTCAGCCCAAAAGACATAACAAGAAACTCATAGTGACCATATCTGGTTCTGAAAGCAGTCTTCGGGATATCTGGCTCCCGAATCTTCAACTGATGATAACCTGAACGTAAGTCAATCTTGGAAAACATTCTGGCACCCTATAATTGATCAAATAAGTCATCAATACGAGGCAGTGGATACCTGTTCTTCACTGTGACTTTGTTCAACTGGCGGTAATCAATACACATCCGCGTAGAACCATCCTTCTTCTTCACAAATAAGACAGGAGCACCCCAAGGTGACACACTGGGCTGAATGAAGCCCTTATCAAGCAATTCCTGTAACTGCTCCTTTAACTCCTTTAACTCAGGAGGAGCCATATGATATGGAGGAATAGAGATGGGCTGAGTGCCCAGAAACAAATCAATGCCAAAATTAATATCTCTGTCGGGCGGCATGCCCGGAAGATCAGCTGGGAACACATCTAGAAAGTCCCTCACTATTGGAACTGACTCAACTGTAGGGGTATCAATACTGACATCTCTCACATAAGCTAGATACGCGCCACACCCCTTCTCAACCATTCGTTGAGCTTTAAGAAATGAAATAACTCTGCAGGGAGTATACTCTAAGGTACCTCTCCACTCAAATCGCGAAAACCCTAGCATAGCCAGCATCACGGTCTTAGCGTGACAATCAAGAATAGCATAATGGGGCGACAACCAGTGCATGCCCAAAATAATATCAAAGTCCACCATGCTGAGCAATAATAAATCGGCTCTAGTCTCAAAACCACTAAGAGCAATCAAACACGACCGATACACGCGGTCCACAACAAGAGAATCTCCCACAAGAGTAGACACATAAATAAGGGAACTCAAATAAACCTGAGATACGCCCAAATACGGGGCAAAATAAGAGGACACATAATAATATGTAGAGCCTGGGTCAAANTCTCCGCCTCAGAAGCTGCTACCCTAACCTCGGGTTGAGCTGGAGCTACCGGCTGTATTGGTACAATCTCTGGAACCTGATCGACCTGAACCCGCTGCTCTAGAGTACTGGCGACGGAGTTTGTGCTCCTCCCCCGGTCTAAGATGTGGCAGGGGCAAGTGGAATCAATCCATCTTGAGCTAAGGTGCTGAACATGCTCAGAAACTGGGCTAAAGTCTCCTGGAGGGCTGGTGCAGAAACAGGTACCTCAGGTGTTTGCCCTCCAACTGGAGCTATTGGGGGCTCCTTTGTAGCAGCTCGTGCGGGTGCACTGACTGCACCACGTGGACGTCCTCGGCCTTTACCCCGGCCCCGGCCTCTCGCGGCTCTAGCAGGTGCCGCGGGTGCCTGTTCATCAGATCCGCTTGTACGTGTCCTCACCATCTGTGAGAGAATAGAATACAAAAGTTTAGAATCTTAGAAGTCAACAATTGTTTTCGCACGACAAGGAATCAAAGTAGTGAAATTTTCCTAACAATTTCATAGCCTCCCGAAGATAAGTACAGACGTCTCCGTACCAATCCTCGAGACTCTATTAAACCGGCTTGTGACTCACGACACCTACGAACCTAGAGCTCTGATACCAACTTGTCACGACCCAATTTCCCCTTCGTGTGACGTCGTGACGACACCTAGTCTGTACAACTAGGTAAGCCTAACATTTTACGGAATAATGAAATAAAAATATAAATTTAACCAACTATTCAAAAATACACAACAAATCCCAAAACACCATACAAACTTAGTCAAGCCCTCAAATCACATTAAACAACGCTAAAAACACAGTTCATCCTCCAATTCAAACTTAAAGAACTTGAAACTTCTAAATTCGACAACAGATGCCGAAACCAACCAAACCTCGTCCGATTGATCCTAAATTTGAACACAAGTCATATTCAGCATTACGGACCTACTCAAATTTTCGGAATCGGAATCCGACCCCGATATAAAAAATTTCACTACCGGCCCAAAACTCCAAAAATTCGACTTTCGCCATTTCAAGCCTAAATAAGCTACAGACCTCCAAAACACTATCCGAACATGTTCCTAAGTCCAAAATCACCCAACGGAGCTAACAAAACCGAGGAAATTCCATTTCAGAGTCATCTTCACACAGTTCCAACTACGGTCAAAATTCTAAGACTTAAACTTTCGTGTAAAGACTAAGTGTCCCAAATCAATCCAAAAACCAAAACGAAACCTCCCGGCAAGTCACAATAGCAGAAATAGATGTGGGAGAAGTAGTAAATAGGGGATCGGGGCTATTACTCTCAAAACGACCGGCTGGGTCGTTACAATGTTGTACTTTCAAGAGGGATATCAACACCGACAACAAGAATTTTGGTTAAGGCAGAGCAACCAGAGCATTAGGAGGAAACATACTCAAAAAATATTGTCCATAAAGAAGTGTTCGTTAAGATACCATCACATTAAATATTTTTAAACTATAATACATAATTATCTAACCAACACAACAATATTGATCATTTGTGTAAGTTTTGACGAAGTACTTTTATTTTAAATTCTTGTATTATGCTAATGTAATAATATTTTTCGGTATTTAGATGATTGTTGTATTATTATACTTAAAATTTGTCTCTTTAATTAAATTTTATTGTTCCTTCATATAAATAAATATTTAAATCATCACGTGTCATTATTAACGTGCAACGCACGTTCATAAATACTAGTTATAATATAAATATGAAAAATCTATAATTTACTTTCCTTTATTTTCCAAGTTCATCAATTAACTCTAAGCAAGTAACAAGACATTTCTATTGATCAAATTTATTCCTTAATGTACAGTTTTCTCTCTCTGGGTTGATATTTGCTGGTTTTGGACAAAACTTTTGTCAAAAAACGTTTTTAGTTTAATACTTTTGAGTACTTTAATTAAGAATATTACAGTTTATGACTCTATGCACAAGTTAATATTCAAACCGAATAAACTGAAGTTACCGAACCGAATAAACCGAAAGGAGAAAAATCGAACTATACCGAATTTAATTAGGTACGGTATAGGTATAGCATTTTAAAAAATCGAATACCGAAAATACCGAACCAAAATGTCTAAATACCGTACCGACCAACGAGCACCCTAACTGAGAGAATTCCAACTACGGAAGACAATAGTTAGTGCTCATCATTCGAGCATGTAACCTAGTTGACAGAAACAAGTTCACTAGAATTTATGTAACAGAAGTAAAGTAATCTCCCTTTCTCCAAACAGAATAAGGAACAACTTTGACTAAAATAAAGAAAGTAATCATCAAAAGACACAACCTTAAGTTGCAAATAATTAACAAGCTTTAGAACTGGAATGAAGATTTGGGGATGGCATTGAATTGTTGTATTCAAAAAATCATGTTTGTTGGACGTGGTATAGTGATCCCAATATGAGGGGAGAGCAATTATAATTTTGTTGGCTACTGTTAGCAATTACAAGAAGGTACTCATAAGACCATGGAACTATCAACAACATATACCGAGCTGGGAAGCTGTGCGATTTAGGTATTGCAATCTCTAACAGCTGCAGCAATCTTTTGCCACTCTCCATAAGCAGCTAAGCGTGACACAGAACGCATCCACAATTTGGTTTATGGTAAACCTTGATCCGCTCTTGCCAATATGATTGTAGCATACTCGTATAAGGGGCTTTGCTTCTACATACTATGTTTCACACACCGTAACTTATCCTCACGGGGATAGATAATGCAATGGCCAAAGGTATGATGTTAAAACTTTCTACTGTATGAAAAATAACAAAAGCCAATGCCTCTAGCTGCTGTAAATATTTCCAACCACTCCAGCAATGCTAACTACAATGGCCAATACTACATGAACCAATACACTATCTTCACATATAACTATGTTAGTATTTAAGGAAAGGTATATAACAAAATTTTGAATTGGGTATTTCCCACAAGCTCCTAAAAACAAAAAGTTGCATGCTAGAGATCAGAAAACAACTTACTAATGTTTTTTTATATGAAGTAAGTAGATCCATTGCTGGCATCAAGAAGATGCAAAGTGTACAAAAGAGGTGTTGTTAGCTTCATTACATTTGTCAGTGCTGCAGCAGGAAGCTAACAAGTTACAAAAATAAGAGACTAAGCTAATCTATTTAGAATGTTAGCTCTAGATGACAAAAGAACTAGTCTATGTGCATGGAACTAGCAGATTAGCCAGTTGCATATTTCATTTTTAGCACAACAATCACGTAATATATTTTTACAAAATGATATTCCTCTGAAGTTTAAACAAATTGAGCAGAATGAGTACTCAGAATTCATACATCCTACCATAACAAATTTGTGATAAGGCTTAGTTAGTTGATTGATTGATATACAACTGAATGGAGAATCTCTTGATAGGGAACGCTTTACCTCGCTAAGTGAGCCTAACAGGAGGAAATCCAGATTAGCCGGGCTAGTGAACTCCACTGTTGGCTGCCTAAAGCGAAAGAAAAAAGAAAAACTGATATACAACTACAACTTGCTGCAATAAAAAGCAGTCAGACATGGGCAATATAGGAGAATATCTTCTACCACTGTCGATTTTCTTCATGTTTCCAGAAACAATTCTGGGGGAAGAAAAGCCGAAATGCATCTTTCGTTTTTAACAATACCGGTCCAGTATAAAATTTCCACAAATGCTATCACGAGAACAATACGATAACACATTTAAATGCTTAAAAATAAAATAGCACATTGGAAAGTTTCCCACCTCTCAGACCCTCCATATCTCCAATTTATATAGGATGCAACATGTGAACTCAGAGGTATCCATCTAAGGAAGACAATAGCTAAAGCTCATCATTCAAGCATGTAACCGAGTTGACAGAAACACTAGAATCTATGTAATAAAAGTAATCTCTCTTTCTCTAAACAGATTTAGAAACAATTTTGACCAATATAAAGAAAGTTGCAAATAATTAACCAAGCTTTAGAATTGGAAGGAAGATTTGGGAATGGCATTGAATTATTGTATTCATAAAATCATTTTTGTTGTATGTGGTATAGTGATCCCAATATGAGGGGAGAGCAATTATAATTTTGTTGGCTACTGTTAGCAATTACAAGGTAACAGTCTCATAGGACCATGGAACTATCAACAACATACACCAAGCTGGGATCTGTGCGATTTAGGTATTGCAATCTCTAACAGCTGCAGCAATCTTTTGCCACTCTCCACAAGCAGCTAAGCGTGACACAGAATGCATCCACAATTTCGTTTATGGTAAACCTTCATCCGCTCTTTCCAAAATGATTCGTATCAGGGGCTTTGCTTCTAGAAACTTCGTTTCACAAAGCGTTACTTATCCTCACTGGGATAGATAATGCAATGGCCAAAGACGTTAAAACTTTCTACTGTATAAAAAATAACAAAAGCCAATCCCACTAACTGGCGAGGCTGTAAATATTTCCAACCACTCCAACAATGCTAACTACAACGGCCAATACTAACATGAACCAAGACAATATCTTTTCCTTGTGACTCAAACCAATCCCTTCTTTGCTCAACCTTAGAGCAATGAGAGATGGGAATGTAAAACCTAAAGAGACTGCTGTAGTCGCCCCTGTAAATTTGAAAGCAGCCCAAATGTTAGGAATCATAGTTGATCCGAGATATATGAGTGCCAAAAGAACCACAGTCAGAGCCAGACACCTCTTCCTACTTTCAGTTAGTGGTACTGATCCTTTAAATAACAAGGCATCCACTGTCTGCCTAAGAGAGAAATGGATAACAGGGAAAACAAGAACCAGATGAAAAACATAGCCAACACGGACTATGTAATTTAAAGGTGTGCTGAAACGAATTCCAAGGTCTTTATCAAAGTTAGTGAGCACATCCGATTCAGTATCCTTCCCGAAAAGTAAATAACCAGCTATTGCAGTAGAAGCATACACCAAAACACAGATAACACTGGTAATCCGTCCCACCCGATTCATTTTCTGAGGTGAGCGACCTTCGAGCTCATTATAAATAGGCTGAACATTGAAATGACAAACATAAGCATTCGACATGATAGGAATCACCACGAGCAGGTCTAAGATTGCCTTCTTAGACCCAAAATCCGGGGTCATTCTCGGAGCTTCAATCTTCCCTTCAACCAGCTTAATAAACGCTATGGTGAAAGCAACCAACACAAATACAACCGCGAGAGCTACAGAAGCACCCGAAGTCAAGCTCAACGAATCGATCTTATCCAAAGCACAAAGAGGTGCAAGACAAATCACCAACATAACCAAAATCACCAACTTCCTATGATCCCACACTCCATGACCTAACCATTGATCAAAAACACCAATATGACGAAGCGAACCGGACAAAACATCCCCTATAATAATCAAATACACAACCAAAACACCAGCATTGTTAACAATAATGCAAATCTCAGATATAACCTTAGCTGTTTTCCCCAATGCAGCCTGAACAACCTCCCCATACGACGACGCCTTGCAATGTACAGTAAACCGGACAAGCAATTCGACACTGATCTCAGACAAAATAGCCATCAATAATATTAAGACAACACCAAGAACCAAACCCAATACTTTCATTGTAGCAGGCAATGCCATAATACCAGCACCAATAATAGTAGTTGTAAGATTAAAAACAGCACCATATATTCCAGACCCAGATTTATTTTCACCAAAAATAAGGGGTAAATTATCAAAATCAATATCATTAGCATCAAGATCATCCTCAATGTTTGATTTTGAATACCCATCTTTAATAAAGTTATCATCTTTTAATTCTAACTCAACAAAAGATGAATTTTTGGAAAGTGATGTATAATTACTATCCATATTCTTGTAATAATATATTCAGAAATTATACGCATGGAGGTAAAAAAAAAAAAGAAACAGTAAAGAAAAACGCACGGAGAAGTAATGCAAACTATTTTGGAGATGTGGGTTTTGGGATTAAATGATGAAAGATTAAGTTTTGTGTATGGAATTGGAGGAAGGAGGAACCCTAGATCCTGGGGTTCTCTCCTAATATAGAAGCAGTTTATTAATTACTTTTATGCTATATAACTTGTAAGATGGAACAAGAAAAGGTCAGAGGAAATGAAGGAAGAGGGCTGCATTCAAATTTGAGGTTCCCAATTGGCTGATTGAACTTGGAATTTTGCACCATAGTATTTCTATTTGGAAGCAGGACATATTATAAGAGAGAAACTTACTATCACATTTAATGTTTTAGATTAAATAAGTGTATTTTACTGTGGTTAAGTAATAAATAAACTGAAAATGTATATTCATTAACTATAATTAGGAGATATAATTAGGACCTGTCATGTTTTTATTGATTTGATTTAAACATGTACAATTTTAATCATACAGTCATACTATATTGCCTCTGATCCAATATAAGTGTCTTTATTAAAAAATTATTTAGTAACTAGCATTACTCATAAGAGTTATTTAATTAAATTACTCCCTCTTTAGTCTAGTCTAATAAATGTAAATGAGAATGGGTACTTTTCAAAAAATTGTAAAGATAATTTATTCGAGCAAGGATAGATTTAAAAAATAATAATGAGTGCATTTGTTTTAAGTTCCTAATTTCTTTAAACGATAATTATTTTTAATAAATTTGAGCTAAAATAATAGTTAAAATGGATCGGAGGGAGTTCCTTAAACTGTCGGATAAATATAATATGGTCGTGGTTCGTTTATAAATTCTTCAAATTACATTAAAAGTAAGCAAAATATTAAACTTGTCTTTGCAGTAAGTACTTAAAACTTCTTCCAGTAGTATTTTCCTTTTACCCAAATTAAAATACTTCCACTATTAATTGCAAAACAAGAGGGAAAAAAATGTTCAAGCACGATTCTGTAGTAGCCAAGATTTTCAAAATTTTAATGGTCAAAAGCTGAAAATTCAAATTACAAAGTCACGAGTTTGGATCAGCCAATATTGCCAATATATTAGCTCTTCTTTAATTTCTTTAGTCAGTATATAAAAGCAAAGCTTATAGTTTATTCACTTGGCTTAAAGAGTTCCAATATTCAATCAATTGAATCTTAAATTAGAAAATTTGTGGTGATATTTACATAGAATTAACATAGTAATACACATTTGTTAAATATTGTAATACATGTCAATACTAGTTCAGACATCAGAAATCACCATGTCGAATAGAAATGTTTTTGTCATTTCAATGATTATTTTTTACGAACAACAAAATGATTAGGTGAACGACGTTTTAATTGTCACTTAAGATTTTGACTCAAAAGAAAATCATAGATATCTTTTCTCTAATTGATTGTTTTCCAATTTGGGTCAGTTCTTTGTAGTTTCTACTTAGTCCAACCTTGCAAGTGGCAGTTAATATAGATTTGCCACAATTTGAAGACACTCAAAAAATTATATATTAGTACTTCAACAACAACTATTTAATTGACTTTTGGAATTTTTGAGGACACGCAAAAACAATAAGTACGATATTACTTATACTAGTTTATTTTTCTCCTTCTTATACTTGTGCTGTTATGCACACACGTGTAAATACACACATTCTTTCTTTTCTTCATGAGATACTTGGTATATACGGATCCTCAAGATCAGAATATGTAAGTTTCTCAAATATCAGTCATATTCTTAAATTTGGAATTAGAAAAGGGAGAGTTATATGTTTCATCTTTAACAGTTTCAGTTTCAGACTTTTATATCTGAAGAGAAAAATGATGGTTCCATCCCACGTGTACGAAGACATTTTCTTTTAGGCTTTGAAATGTCAAGCCAGCTAAAGAAATATTAAGGAAGATTTTATAGCAAATATTTCTTTGATTTCACATTGAATATTTGACTCTTGTCAAAGTCATGAGATCATTGATGACATCAATGAAGCAATCCTAAACATTATAAATAGGTGTCTTGCTCTCATTGTAAAATACACCAACAAAGAGAGAAAGAAAGAGTGAGATTTCACAGATAAGATATAAAAAAATAGTCTGTGAGAAAAATAGAGAGTGAGCGATATTGTAGTAAGGTGGGAATATCAAAAGAGGGTTCTTTCTTTTGAGTGTTGTAGTGGTCTTTGGAGTATTTTACTCTTACCTACAAAGTGTAAAATTCCTTGCTATAGTGATATTCGTTGCTCGTCTCGGGGTCGTGATTTTTTCCGTTATTCAAAAGGGTTTTTCACGTAAAAATCTTGGTATCGTTGTCACTCTTTTATTCTTGTTAATTACCGTATCTCGGTGCTACGTTATTATTCCGCTTTTATTACTGTGAATATTATTCTGTGGGGGTTTATTCCCACCAACTGGTATTAGAGCACAGGTTCTGCTCGTTCATAGAAGTACTATTCAGTGTCGGTAGTACTATACTCGGTGAAAACAAAAATGTCCGGAGTAAAGTACGAGGTAGCAAAATTTAACGAAGATAAGTTATTTCTCAACATGGCAAAGAAGGATAAGGGATCTGCTCATCCAACAAGGTTTACATAAAGTACTAAATGTTGATGCCAAAAAGCCTGATACCATAAAAGCTGAGGATTGGGCTTACTTAGATGAAAGAGCTGCTAGTGCAATCAGATTGCACTTATCAGATGATGTGGTAAATAACATCATTGATGAAGACACATCATGTGGCATTTGGACAAGGTTGGATAGCCTATACATGTCCAAAATGCAGATAAATAAATTATACCTGAAGAAGCAGTTATAAGCTATACACATGGGTGAAGGTACGACGTTTTTGTCACATTTAAATATGTTTAACGAACTAATCACACAGCTCGCCAACCTCGGAGTGAAAATAGAGAAAGAAGATAAAGCCATCTCGTTGTTGAACTCGTTGCCATCTTCGTACGATAATGTGGCAACAACCATCCTGCACGGTAAGACTACCATTGAGTTGAAAGATATCACATCGGCTCTTCTACTTAATGAGAAGATGAGAAAGAAGCCTGAAAATCAAGGACATGCTCTCATCACAGAAGGTAGAGGCAGGAGTTATCAAAGGAATTCAAGCAACTATGGTAGATCCGGAGCTCGTTGGAAGTCTAAGAACCGATCCAAATCAAGAGCTAGAAATTGCTATAATTGTGATCAACCAGGTCACTTCAAAATAGATTGCCCAAATCCAAGGAAGGGCAAAGGTGAAACCAGTGGCCAGAAGAATGACGATAATACAACCGCCATGGTGCAAAACAATAATAATATTGTCCTCTTTATAAATGAGGAATAGGAATGCATGCACTTATCAGATCCAGAGTCAGAATGGATTGTTGATACAGCATCATCTTACCATACCACACCGGTAAGAGATCTTTTTTGCCTATATGTAGTAGGTGATTTCGGCCTTGTGAGAATGGATAACACAAGTTACTCAAAGATTGCGGGGATTGGTGATATCTGTATCAAGAAAAATGTCGGATGCACATTGGTTCTAAAGGACGTGCGACATATACCTGATTTACGGATGAACTTGATCTCGGGAATTGCTTTAGATCAAGATAGATACGAGAACTATTTTGCAAATCAAAAGTTGAGACTCACCAAGGGATCATTGGTGATTGCAAAGGGAGTTGCTCGTGGCACGTTGTATAGGACAAATGCAGAAATATGCTAAGGTGAATTGAACATGGCACAAGATGCGATTTCTGCAGATTTAAGGCACAAAAAGATAGGTCATATGAGCGAGAAGGGATTGCAGATTATTGCCAGAAAATCACTCATTTCTTATGCCAAAGGTACAACGGTAAAACCTTGTGACTACTGTTTAATTGTTAAGCAGCATAGAGTCTCATTTCAGACATCGTCTAAAAGAAAATTGAATATACTTGATTTGGTATATTCTGATGTTTGTGGTCCAATGAAAATTGAATCGATGGGCGGTAACAAATATTTTGTTACTTTTATTGATGATGCTTCACGAAAAGTAAGGGTTTATATTTTGAAAACCAAAGATAAGGTATTTCAAGTTTTTCAGATGTTTCATGCTATGGTGGAAAGGGAGACATGCAAAAAGCTAAAGCGTCTCCAAAGTGACAATGGAGGTGAGTACACTTCTAGGGAATTTGAAGAGTATTATTCGAGCCATGGGATTAGACATGAAAAGACAGTTCCTGGAACCCCACAATACAATAGCATAGCCGAAAGGATGAACCGCACCATTGTGGAGAAGGTGAGAAGCATGCTCAGAATGGCTAAACTGCCTAAGTCATTCTGGGGTAAAGCAGTTCAGACAGCCTGTTACCTGATCAATAGGAGTCCATCAGTTCCGTTGGCGTTTGACATCCCAGAGAGAGCTTGGACCAATAAGGAGGTGTCCTACTCGCATCTGAAGGTGTTCGGTTGCAGAGATTTTGCACATGCACCAAAGGAGCAGAGAACAAAGCTAGATGATAAATCTGTTCCCTGCATATTCACCGGATATGGAGATGAAGAGTTCGGATACAGATTGTGGGATCCTGTAAAGAAGAAGATCATCAGAAGCAGAGATGTAGTCTTCCGAAAAAGTGAAGTTGGAACTGATGATGATATGCTAGAGAAGGCTAAGAATGGTATAATTCCTAACCTTGTTACTATTCCTTCTACTTCTAACAATCCCACAAGTGCAGAAAGTAGGACCGACGAGGTTGCCGAGTAGGGGGAACAACTTGATGATGATGTCGAGCAAGTAGAGTACCCCACTCAGGAAAAAGAATAATCTCAACCTCTGAGGAGATCAGAGAGGCCAAGGGCAAAGTCATGCAAGTACCCTTCCACAGAGTATGTCCTTATCATTGATGAAGGGGATCCAGAAAGTCTTAAGGAGGTGTTGTCTCATCCAGAAAAGAACCAGTGGATGAAATCCATACAAGAGGAGATGGAATCTTTGCAGAAAAATGGCACGTACAAGCTGGTTGAACTTCCAAAGGGTAAAAGACCACTCAAATGTAAGTGGATCTTTAAACTCAAGAAAAATGGAAATGGCAAGCTGGCTAGATACAAAGCTCGATTGGTGGTTAAAGGCTTTGAACAGAAAAAAGATATTGATTTTGACGAAATTTTTTTACCTGTTGTCAAAATGACTTATATTCGAACAATCTTGAGCTTAGCAGCTAGCCTAGATCTTGAAGTTGAGCAGTTGGATGTGAAAACTGCATTTCTTCATGGAGATTTGGAAAATAA